CCCCCATAAGGCTCCCAAGACTCCTCGTGAGCCTGGCGCAGGGCAGGGACAAGGAGGGTCCAGAAGCTGCCAGGAGAACAGCCATCGGGACACTGGCATGACTTGGGAAAGGAAAAGCATCACAAATTGAGGAGGTGCCAGCTCAGTGTGACTAACAACATCACAGCAAAAAACCTCACATGTTCCAGAACCTGACACCTTGGACAACAGCCCTTCGGCCACCCCAGGAAGGCAACGTCCTGGGAAAAGGCACCCCAGGACCTGTCCCAGCAAGTCCCCACTCTTCCCCTCATCCCTGTCCTCACCGCACAGGGCAGGTGGCGATGGCACTTAAAGAGAGACCAGGTCTCAGCCAGCTCTCCAGTGGCACAGAAGGGGTCCTTTGCCCTCCGTGTCAATCATGAGTGAGGAGAGAAGTGGTGCAACAGCACCCCTGTCCCCAGGCGAACTGCCAAAGGTCCCCTCTAGGGCAGGACAGCCACAGCTGAGGCACCCAGGAACCCCGTGAGATGCCCCAGGGCTGGGGAGGATGGACCCTTCCCAGGAACTTACTGCGGATCTGCTTCTTGATCTCCTTGGAGGGGTCCAGCCAGTTCTGCAACGAGGAGACAGCAGGTGAGGGGGGCCCCCACCACCGAGGGGGTGGCCACAGAGCAACCCCCCTGCTCACCTTCTGGCTGTCCGAGTCACAGAAGGTGAGGCCAAAGTAGTCCTTCTCCAGGAGGTTGAGGTGCTCGCACACCAAGTCGAAGAGGATCTGGCCCCTGGCGTGTTTCTGTTGGAGACATGGAGAGGTTGATGGTGAGTCAGATCCATCGTGCTCCTGGAGACCTGGCAGGGAGCACTGGGGAGGCTCAGGGCTGCTCTGGCTTTCCAGGTAACCACTGAAAGGTGCTGGGCTGCTGCTGGGAGCAGCCCTCTCACTGAGCAGCACCCTTTTGGGGCCATCCAGGGATGGGGCACAGCTTAGCCCAGCCAGGGGCAGTGCCAGTAGCTGGTCCCACGGGCCAGGGGGACCCGATGCCCACCTGGCTCATCCCCCAACACACCAGGAGACAAAAATGCCAAAGCAGTGAGAGGTCCAGCCAGCCCAGGCATCTCCACTCCAGATAAGCAAGCTGGGACAAACGCCCCAGAGCTCGGGACAAGCTCCCTCTCAACACCCTCCCTGCTGGTGGCAGTGCCAGCTGGGTCACCATGAACCACACGACAAACGAGAGCCACGAAAAGCCTGAGCCACGTGCAAGGACGGAGGGCACCCTCGTTATCTGGTCCTTTTGAGTTCCCCTGAATTTCCCTTCATTATCAGTAGCAGCGAGACCCAGGCTTGCTCATGGAGATGGAAGAACAACCCTTCTTGTGGGCGCATCTGCCTTCCAGCCTGGCAGCTCCCACCTCCCCTCTCCGAGGCACCCATCTGCCAGAGCACCCTCACCACACGCCCCGGGAGGGCAGCTCAGGGCAGAGGTGTCGGCAGCCTGGCTGACGCACGGATGCGTTGTGCTCATATTGCCAGGCAGAGCTCTATCCTCCCATCGAGTAACCTTCTGCTTTTTAGACACTGTTTCCTATCGTGAGTGGGTACCAAATGTGGATTCACGGCACTGAAATTTCCTGCTAGGGTCTGTCTTTCCAGATTTTTCCCTTATTTTGAAATTTCAACTTAAACGGCTATTCCAATGGATTCTTTCCCTAGGAGAGGGGAAGCTGTCCTTGGAAGAGCCCTGACA